ACATATTTTAGGAACTGCAACCATTTTTATACACACAGTCTCTCCATTTTCATGGGCTCAAATGTGATTGGAAAAATGCATATAATCATAAATAAAATGCTCATTTTTAATATTTTGTTGAGAATCCTTTACTGGCAATGACTGCCTAAAGTTTGGAACCCATGGACATTACCAAAGACTGGGTTTCCTCCTTTCTGATGCTTTGCCATGCTCTAACTGCAGCTGTCTTCAGTTGTTTTTTGTTTGTGGGTCTTTTTTTTTTTGTGGGTTATTTTTGCCTTCAGCAAGTAAAATGCATGCTCAATTGAGTTGAGATCAGGTGATTGCCATTGCAGAATATTCCACTTCTTTTCCTTAAAAAGTTCCTGGGTTGCTTTTGCAGTGTGTTTTGGATCACTGTCCATCTGTACTGTGAAGCGCCCTCCAATCAACTTTGCTGCATTTGGCTGAATCTGAGCTGACAGATCTCTAAACACTGCAGAATTCATCCGGCTGCTTCTGCCTTCTGTCACATCATCAATAAACACCAATGACCCAGTGCCACTGGAAGCCATGTATGCCAATGCCATCACACTGCCTCCACCATGTTTTACAGATAACGTTGTGTGCTTTGGATCATGAGCTGTTCCAAGCCTTCTCCACACTTTTTCCTTCCCGTCATTCTGGTACAGGTTAATCTTAGTTTCATCCGTCCAAAGAATGCTTTTCCAGAACTGGTCTGGCTTTTTTAGATTTTTTTTGGCAAAGTCTAATCTGGCTTTTCTATTCTTCAGGTTTATGAATGGTTTGCACCTTGTGGTGAACCCTCTGTATTTGCTCTCGTGAAGTCTTCTCTTGATTGTAGACTGACAATGATACGCCCACCTCCTGGAGAGTGTCCTTCACTTTTTTGGATGTTGTGAGTGGGTTTTTCTTTACCATAGAGAGGATCCTGCGATCAACCACCACCGTTGTCTACTGTGGAAGTCCATGCCTTTTTATGTTGCTGAGCTCACCAGTGCATTCTTCTTTCTTTAGAATGTACCAAACTGTTGATTTGGCCATTGCTAATGTTGCTGCTATCTCTCTAATGGATTTGTTTTGTTTTTGAAGCCTAACAATAGCCTGTTTCACTTGCATGGACAGCTCCTTTGAATGCATAATGTAGGATCACAGCAATAGATTCCAAATGCAAATATCACACTTAGAATCAACTCCAGACCTTTTACCTGCTTAACTGATAAAGAAATAAGGAAGGAGTAGCCCACACCTGGCCATGAAACAGCTTTTGATTAAATTGTCTAATTACTTTTAGTCCCTTGAAAAAGGGGGATGGCTACTGTTAAGAGCTGTAATTCCTAAACCCTTCCTCCAATTTGGATGTACATACCCTCAAATTAAACCTGAGAGTGAGCACTTTCAGCCCATATTCATTATTTATCTATAGCGTGAATATGTTTTGGTAAATACCTCAAAAAACTAAAATTTTGCCTGTGTCCAAATGTACTGTATATTTAATCTTTATTTCACAGCTTTATTATTTAGTTTCTTTTTAACAGCTTATTTTGTGTGGGCGATGAGGGACTGGCAATAAAGAGGACCTTTCGTTTTCATGTAAGGTTCTCTTTAAACTTGTGATTCAAGGTAAATTTATTTGGCCTGCGTCACATTGGGATCTCTGTTCAGGCAAGTGCCTGGCATAGTGGATGTTACATTTTTCTCTCATCACTGTGCCAATGTTTACCCTTCTTTTGTGCAGCCTGGGCTGTATAAAAATATTTTTAGAGCAATGCCAGTGTTGTATATGAGCATCTTATATTACATGCATGATAAGATTTACACATACACTTTTAACAGCCAAAGTAAATTGCTGTAATCAACCATAACGCACGGCAGCTATTTTTAATGCTAACCATAGCATTATAACTCATAAATTGATAAAAAGCTAGAATGTCTGAGCTCACTTAGGGGAGAAGGATGCTGCAGAATGCTGTCTACAAGCTCTGAGGACACAGTGCAAGTGCATGTTCTTTTCCAGCAGTGTAAAGGAAGGCAAAAGCAAGAACACGAATGCTAAGAAAATTGGAAATACAGCAATCTCATCCCAGCCATAGTCACAAAGCTATATAAGTAATTTGTATATACTGTGTGTGTGTGCGTATATATATATATATATATATATATATATATATATATACATACACTGTATATGTTATATTATACATAGTGCAATGTATCATATAAGCTCATGCTGACATTGATTTAAATTGGTTGCATATATATTACAGTGGGGACAAGGAGGAGAAAAAGATACCCAAAATTATATTTATTCCTTGAGAATCCATTTAAATCTAACCCTAGGTATAAGGACACCACAGTGGCTAAATGGTTAGCAGTTCCGCCTGGCAATACTGGGGTTGTTTGTTCAAATCCCAACCATGGCACCACCTGCCTGGAGTTTGCATGTTCTCCCTGTGCCTGCATGGGTTTCCTCCAGGTACTCTGGTTTCCTTCTACACTCCAAAGACATGTTGGTACGGGAATCGGCTGCTGTCTAAATTGGCCCTAGTATGTGTATGTATTAATGTGAGTTAGGGACCTTAGATTGTATGCCCCTTGAGGGTTAGGGACTGATATGAATGTACAATATACAGTATATGTAAAGTGTTGCATAAACTGATGGCGCTATACAAGTACCTGAAATAAATAAATAACTTGCAGTGCCACTCTAAGCTGAGATAAGGATCTCCCCGCTGGTTGCAGTGAAGGGGGCAGGTGCCTGTGCACCATTCAGGGATGTAGAACCATCATCAGAGAAAGAAATAAGTACAGTTCTGTGACCAAGCCCCGGTATGTGGGGTGAAACATGTCAGAGGGCCTGTCTGGAGTGGTACTGGTTGTGGCCACTCTTATCCACATATTTATGCACTGGGTCTGTGAGTGGTGCTTCTTCCTTTCTCTCATGATGTATCTAAACCTAGGGACAAAAATGTAATATATTGCAACTTACCAGTTCTTAGACGTGGTGGCTGCATTTGTTTTTTTTTTCTGAAGCTTTATTCCTTTATTTTCACCTTGTGATCTTGTCACTAATACACTTTCTGCCCCAAAAGGTGTTTGTACATCCCAGAACAGGAATTGGGTTATGACTACAGACCCCCACCTTATCATCATAAGGTAAGGTAGCATAGCATTCTCTAGTTTACATAGGTGAACTGGGCAGGGCTGCTATGACTGTATAGGATAAGACTGCAGAGTGCACAGGTCAGCATTAGCAGGATCAACAGGTAGTTTCTTGTATTTCTGTATAACCACTTTAAATGGTATATTGGACAGACGAAAAAGATAGCAAATAAGGAAACTTTCACATTCTGGAAAGGCAAAGTATGCGCAAGTGGGGGTAACCGTTACTGCACAGAAGCATCTGCATTCACACATGTAGAAGGGTAACAGCCATACACTCATATGGCTGGCTGTATGCCCCACCAGCAGATCACCAAGTGTGGAAAATTAATATGACCTTTGGACTGGCATAATTTGTGTCCACAAACATCCATGTGCATGGGGACTAAAAGATGATGGTTGTTAGGATTAGCATACATTCAAGGACTACCTGACATTTAGAAAGAAAAATATCAAAGAGGAGTACCCCATCAGAGAGATGTTGACAGTCGGTATTGGGTAATGTCTTTACCATAGTTTTTCATTTAAAAAAACATGGAAAGAACATGAAAAATACCCAAGGGTAAAGATACTGTGTGGGAGTGAAAAATGGTCATGTATTATTTTAAGCACAATGGGGTGCATTGTCAGCCCATTTATTTAGAACAGGCTGCCTTAGTGCAATGCACATTAACAGAAATAATATAATATATATTGTAGAGTGAGTACTGACAGCAAAAATCTTATAAAAAAAAAATCAGAAAAAAAAGAAAGCAAAAATGCAAGGTGAATTTAAAACAAAGATACCTATAGACATGAATTATATATGGTTAATCAATTAACCTAATATTCCAAATCATTCACATATGTGTAAAAAACGTGAGGATTGCACATATACTTAGCAAATATAAGAAATTGTATAATTGGATGATTGCCCAGTGAAAGGATTATATAAAGTGGAATAGTGCACAACCAATATATCATTATAAAGTGTCCATGAAATAAACAAGCCAATCAGTGCTGCTGGAATATTCCCTCCATGATCACTGGTAACAAAGGTGTCAAAAATGCCCTCACAGATACACACAAGAGGCTCTTACCATGTCAATATGACCACTATATTTAAAATGGTCAACAACGCTCAAGGGGTTAATACCTCCTGGTCCTGATCATACCACCAAGCTCACACAGCAAACGAGCTCTCAAGTATCTTATCAGTAAATCAGTAACAGCAGAGAAAGGAGACACAAAGCAACTCCATACGGTAATAAAGTTTAAAACATCTATTTATTAAAAGCAAAAGGTGCAATCACATATGGAAGTTAAATGAAAACAATACTGCTTATGCATTCCCACTCAGCAAACAGTTCCATCTCAGCCAACCAAGCATGCGTGATGACGTCTCATCCTTAGGCCCCGCCCTCTGTGTTTCATCATAGATGACATCTTAAGGGGACTTACTTCATTACTGGGAATGTGGTTGTAAGACTATGGAAATGGTGGCTGTTGATACTATGTTTACTCGACTGAACATTTATTTCTGTGATTTCACATGGGCATTAGAGTATATGTAAACCAAGTACCGTATTTTCCGGCGTATAAGACAACTTTTTTTACTTAAAAACATTCCCCAACAATTGGGGGTCGTCTTATACGCTGGGTATAGAACTGGATGTGCAGTACTACTGTACGGTAGCTTCAGCTACATACAGTGCACCGCGCTGAGCCAATCAAGGCGAGCAATGTATTTTATTAATGAATACAGAGCCTCCTCGGATTGGCTGAAGTTGTGACATCATCAGCCCACCTCTCTGACACAGCCAATCTGAGCAGGCTCTGTATTCATTAATAGGATACATCACTTGCCGTGATTGGCTCATATGACGTCCTCCCATTCTCCGCGCATGTGCGGTGATGCGCTGTGTCCCTCGGACACAGCGATCGCCGATCACGGAAAGAGCAGAAGATGTCGGCTCGGTCATGTGATCAGCTGTGTCTAATCACAGCTGATCACATGTAAACGGAAATGCCGGTTATCGGCATTTCTCTCCTCTCGAGCTGTCACACTGACAGAGGAGAGGAGAGCCGGTAATCAGCTTTCTGCGGAGGGGACATGTACACTGATCATCAGGGCACTGATGATCAGTGTGCCCTGATGATCAGTGTAGCCCCAGCAGTGCCAGCTGTCAGTGTCCATCAGTGCCACATCAATGCCACATATCAGTGCCTACCAGTGCACATCAATGCCACATATCAGTGCCCATCTGAGCTGCCTTTCAGTGTTACCCATCAGTGCCAGTCAGTGCCACCTATCAATGCCAATCAGTGCCACCTATCAGTGCTGCCAATCAGTGCTGCCTATCAGTGCCATGTATCAGTGCTGCCTTTCAGTGCCCATCAGTGATGCCTCTCAATGCCCACCAGTGCCACCTACCAGTGCCTCCTCATCAGTGCCCATCAGTGCCACCTATTTCATATAGGTACAGTGTTGCATGACCGCGCAATTGTCATTCAAAGTGTGACAGCGCTGAAAGCTGAAAATTGGCCTGGGAGGGAAGTGAGTATAAGTGCCCTGTAGGCTAGTGGTTAAATAGTGTTGCCTCAGAAGGGGGGTAGTCTTATATGACGAGTATAGCCCAAAACCTATGTTTTAACTGGAGAATTAGGGGGTCGTCTTATACACCCAGTCGCCTTATACGCCGGAAAATACGGTACATAAAAAAATCACCTACAAGCTTTAATATGTTAATGTAATTCAAAAGCTTATTTTTTTTTTACATTTTTAAGTCTACTTTTGTTAAAATAATAACTGGGGTCTATGAAGGTCCTTATGCAAAGTCCTCTTGTTATAGGGTAACAGTACTGTTGTCCATCTATGCCGATTGTTCTCCTGCATTGCTACCCTGTCACATTCTTTCCCATTGGAAATAGATGTGACAATAAACATGTGCATTTTGTTTCACTACGATTAATTTTTCAGAAAAAATATAATTTTCACAGATTCGGATGTATATGAATCTTCGAATAGACAAAGTAATGAATGGCAACAAATCCAAAAAAAAAATGTTATAATGAAATTACTGAATGCATTTGTTTCATTTGGATGACGTCACATAATGAGAGTAGCTCGGGCTCATGGGGAAATTATTTTAATTTTCAAATTAGTTCTATAATTCGGAGAATGGATCTGAATTTCCATTTGTTAATTCGGATGACTATGACAACAGTCGATATTGTTCAATCACCTCATGCCATTTCTCTTGGTGGGTTGGACTAGTATCTGAAAATATTGAATCCTTCTCATTCAAATCTATCTAATTTGATAATATATCAAATATACAGCAATCTTCCTAAAAAACTGAAAACATTTTTTTCCACCCGAACCAACAAAAATACAAAAAGAATGCCAAAGATACAAAATAATTCCAAAAACTAATCGGTTCAACATAATGAATATGACAAAACTAAATTCTTCAATGAATTAATGATCCAAAACCAAATGAAGAGATAATTTCTGGCGCATACATGGCTATGCTCCATTAAACCCACCTTGAGCCCTGTTTCACACTGATGCGGTGCGGAATTCGCAGAGTTTTCAGTGCGGATTCCACACCACATCGCACCCCGTTCATGTGAACCGCAGCGGGTGTGTATGTTAACGACACCCCGAAAGCAGTCCGCAAAACACGGTGCGATGTGCAGAATCGGAACGCACAAGTGTGAATACCTATGCGATCCGATTCTAGTGCAGACCCAAAAAACGGTCCTGCGCGTTTTTGGTGCGAGTGCGGTGCAAATAGAGCCATACAAAATTTATGGCTCCAATCGCACCGCACACAAATCGCATGTGATTTGCACAGGAATGCAGTACGGTTCCTGTGTGAATCACATGCGATATACCCGCACCGCACATATGTGAACCCAGGCTCAGAAATTACTTGTATCAGTTGCTGGAGCTAATATATGAACACTGGAAATGGTTGCAAAAGGGTTTCAGGAGATCAGCAGTACCGGGACCCAACAATGAATGAAAAAAAAAGTTGAAAACACTTCTTTTGAATTAAAAAATGGTAATTATTTATGATACACAGCGATTTAGCAAACTAAAGGTTATCCAATTTAGGTTTACATCTACTTTAAAGCTGAACTTCTGCCAGATTTATGCAATTTGTAGGCTACATCATCAAATGTATCTTCCTTATAATGCAAACCGTGTAAGCACCTGGATCTGGTATTGTGTCAGCTTCTTACAGCTGACTGTACAGCAGAGTTCGGACTGGGAAAGGAGACAATCATTTGTGCTGCTGTGTTTATGTGCTAAAAAGATGCATGCTCATATGAGGAGAGAACAGAGTGATAAAGAGGTCAGCTGTGTCCAGTCACAAAGTGAGAAAGGGGACAAGACCTGTAAACCCAGCCATAGACAGTTCGAATCTCGGCCCGTGCAGCAGGAACTGGCTGAGATTTGAACCATGTATTGGTAGGTTGAATGTACTCAAGTTGATCGATTGATCATCTTAGGTACAACCAGCCTGCCCAATTTTACATGCTATTATTGCAAAGCTGCTAGAAATAATCACTGTCTTCTCCCAGCGAGGATGGCTTCCTCTGCCCCCCCTACTGGGAGAACACAATGGCTCGGCAGGAGGGATTCTCTTGTCACTGATTGTATTGATGGGGGAATCAAGCATATGTCTTTGGTTGCAGTACTGAGATTTGCTCTGTATATGGCCTACCTAAGTATTAGCAAACTACAGCTATTCAAAACCAGATATCCTGCCCCTCCAGACTGAATGCACTGCTTTGGAAGAGCTGTGGGAATGTTAGGACTGGATGGACAGAAATGCAAATCTTTTGGCTGGTAAAACAGCCCTATACAAGTACAGAATTTCATCTTAGTATTTACAGTAGCTGTTTGCCTGGAATTCACCTTAATTCCCAACTTCTGGATGCAAGAACTTTTTGGCCGTAATTCCGAAAGATATGTTTGGCACAAAAACAACACTACACATCACCAAAAGTACACCATACCCACAGTGAAGCATGGTGGTGGCAGCATCATGCTTTGGGTCTGTTTTTCTTCAGCTGGAACTGGTGCCTTAGTCAAGGTAGAGGGAATTATGAACAGTTCCAAATACCAGTCAATTTTGGCGCAAAACCTCCAGGCTTCTGATAGAAAGCTGAACATGAAGAGGAACTTCATGTTTTCAGCATGACAATGACCCAAAGCATACATCCAAATCAACAAAGGAATAGCTTCACCAGAAGATGATTAAAGTTTTGGAATGGCCCAGCCAGAGCCCAGACCTGAATCCAATCCAAAATCTGTGGGGTGATCTGAAGAGGGCTGTGCACAGGAGATGCCCTCGCAATCTGACAGATTTGGAGTTTTTTTGCAAGGAAGAGTGGGCAAATATTGCCAAGTCAAGATATGGCATGCTGATAGACTCATACCCAAAAAGACTGAGTGTTGTAATAAAATCAAAAGGTGCTTCAACAAAGTATTAATTTAAGGGTGTGTACACTTATGCAACCATATTATTTTAGTTTTTTTAATTTTTACTTCCCTCCACCTAAAAGATTTCAGTTTGTTGTTCAACTGAGTTGTACAGTTTATAGGCGAACATTAAAGGTGGAAAAAGTTCTGAAATGATTTATCTTTCTCTCATTTTTTTACATCACAGAAACCTGACATTTAGCAGGGGTGTGTAGACTTCTTATATCCACTGTAAGACTATAAAGACTAGGCATTTTAAATATAGAATACTCAGTCTAGCTGCTGACTTATTCAACAACCCACAGCAGCTAATTATATTTAACCTTACACTTATTTGAATTCAGAAACTTGAAATGTGATTACTCACCATGGATTACAACATTATGCTCATTTGTACTTAGCTTTTCACTATCTTGGATCATGATAATAAAAAGACTGTTAGGAATTATAATTTGTCTGACAAACAGGCACATGTCCCATATTCCTATGCTTTTTCGTACGCCTGAAAAGTATGATAAAATACTGCTGTGAAATATATATTTGCAGTATGGCCCTCCTGTATCAAAAGGCGAAAATAAAAATAAATGGTGTTGCCCATGGCAGTAGCCAATCAGATTCATGTGATAACATATCTACTGTTATATAAAAGGGAGAATCTGATGTTTGCCCTGGTTACCGGATTATATTCTATTCAGGTTGATTTGAAATATGTTGTATCCTTAGAAACCACACTTGTGGGCAAGTATGCATTTTTCTCAAAGTAGTAGGTGCAATGTACAGGGCATGTAACAATAAACTAACATTCTTATTTTATGTTCTATTGATTTTGCTCAGCATGAACATTTTGTTATCCTGATATTTGTGCAATATGTAATTGTTACAGTGGCAGGGTTTGCAAGGAATTTCTTAACACGACTTATTTTTGTTCCCATTAAATGATGAGGGACAGAGGCTGGTAAGTTTTACTGATGTTTTTTTCTTTGAAATATATCTATATTATGAATCAATAAATAGAGCATTCACACCTATTTATTGGATTCTCCGTTTTCCTTCCACATACAATTTTCAGCAGTCATAGCCCATGACTGTAAATTTTAAATTAACTTTTTTTTCCTATCTTTGGTAGATTAAGTACAGATGACAAGCAAGGCACATTAGCAGCGCCGTACATCTATTTGAATGTCATTAAGACAATTTGTGGTCATAATTGAAAACTCCCACTGAGCTGGCATTTAATTTTGAAGTCTTAGAGGAAAAATGTGTCACGTGTAAAATAATAATTTTTTTTAAGGAAAATGTTTGCTATAAATATGTAAAATTTATTTTATTTAATTCATTGGGCAGGTTTACTAAAATAAAAAGAAATGAAGGAAATTGAACCTGTGTTCTCTATGGCAATGTGGCACAATATACTGTAAATTTAAGATATGAAATTTAAGAAACCCCCACACAAAAAATGTACTTTTTTTGATTTACCAATGCCTTATTGAGCTGCTCAATAAGGCATTGGTACATCAGAAAAAAAATATTTTTTTGTGTGGGATAGGGTAGTGCTGACTAAAAGCATCTTTCTTTTTTTCCTCAAAAAAATGATGGACACTTTTATACTTGGAAAGATGCCTAGGGAGAGGTGACTAAAGAAATGAATGGAAACTGGGGAAAAGTAACATCACAGTTGGTGGTGATTATCTTGGTGGCTATGGGCAGTGGAGCCTCTACTCAGGCATAAAACAACCTGTGATACTTTCCAATCGGAAACACAACATTTTTTCACTCTATGGACAGACTGCGGAGAATGGCATATTGGATGAGGTTTTACTCTTCAAATAGATTTAATAGTGCAACCTTTATTAATACCAATGACAAAACCGAAATATTTCTCA